ATAGAGACATCATATAAATGTGTTTTGTTTTTTTATATTTTGGATAACATTATGACCAAAAATGAATCTCGTGAAAGCATGTGAATCAGTGAAATCTTTAAATTACTGAGGACAGAAAGATACAACTTTTATCCTTTTTTACTTTAAATATGCAAACTTAAGCAATGGATCGAAATTTTCGACATGATCCTCAAAAGATTCAAACTCGTCTTTCAGCACTCCTATGGGACCAAATGTGCACCCCTCTTTGTCGACCTATACTTATTTTTACATGAATCGGAGTTCCTTCAGACACTGGTACGTGTTGTAAAAAAAGATCAAAGAAGATGAGTAATTCAATTGCACATACAGGTATATTGATAATGTTCTTTCCATTAACAATCTAAACTTTTCTGAATTAGTCTTATTAACAAATCCTATAACTGAACTAGATATTAAAGAAACCGCAGATACAGCTTCCTCTGCCTCATTTTTAGACATTTATCTCGAATTTGATAACAGCGGTCATTTCAGTACCAGAATCTATGTCATGTATGATTGAGACGATTTAAATTTTGAAATTCAAAATGTTCCTCACCTTAGCATTAATATACCAACTTCACCCATGAATGGAATATACATTTCTCAACTCATACGATATTCAAGAGCTTGCATCAGCTACTCGGACTTTGTCAAACGTCATCGATGGCTAAGCAAAAAATTAATAAGCCAGGGTTTGTAAAAGAACGTCTGGCAGGTGGGTCCTGATGTGCGATTCGGACGAGGTTTTTACATTGTTGTTTAGCCTTGTTTAATATTTTATTCAATCTGTTATTTATTGAGAAAGTGTATATTATATACGGTATGTACTATCAAAGTTTATTTATCGGGGGCTTTGTCAATTTACTATTAATTACAAAATGTTTTTGGTGGCGTCTTTGTCAAATTTACCAACAAAACGTTTTTGGTGGTGTCTTTGTCAATTTTACTAACAAAAAATTTGTTGGCGTTTTTGTTACATTTATTTGTATGTGTGATTGAATACTTTAGTCATTTGTGTTGTATGTCTGTGATATATGTTTACACAGTTTTGGCTACTGGATACCAATTGTTCTCAAATTAACCTATTATGTGCATGTATGTTTGGGAAACTCACCCAATTTTGTCATTATAACAGAGCTTTAAACAACTGACATACAAATGGAAGGTTTATCTTGCTAAAAAAACCATGTCTAATCCATCATTTTCTTGGGAAAAATGTCTGTACCAAGTCCGGATTATGACAGTTGTTTTTCACTCGTTCTGTCGGTTGATAACGTTCGATTTTGTTAGTTTTTATGTTCTGGTTTTGAAATCAGCTTGGAATTCTGTTTTTGTTATAACTTTTTCGTCGGTGTTTTTATATTTGCCTGTGTCAGAAATATCAGCGAAATTGTTTTTCGGATTATCCAGTAAAAAGTGAATGATGTTGTAGATAATGCATATTTTAAGGTTTTCTTGTCGTATAACACATCGAGGGGTGTCAGGATTGATCAAATGAAAGACCAACCGTAAGGAGGTATTTCTTTGGGCAATTCTGAGACCCCGAGGTGTGTTTTACGACAAGAAAATCCTTAAAATATGCATTATTTGACTTATAAACCGTACAAAATATTATTTTCTGCAAAGATTTTGCAGGATTTGCCTCCTATTTTACCGATCATGCTGAAGTGGGATATTCTTTTCTGATGCGTTCAGGTTTTAATACGCCCTACGGCTAATTTGTAATGTGAAATAAAACTCACTTATTAATCTAGATATAAATAAAGGCAAAAGTAGTATACCGCTGTTCAAAAGTCATAAATCGATTAAGCGAAAACATAAAAACGTTAGCAATCATTATCCAGTTAAAATAGAAATATCACTGTAGCTGCATGAAGCAAGACGCAAATGACTTGTTATGGTGTATGAAAAATACAAGTCACTTTATCAGAAATTTATTGTATCACTTAGTTTATAAAAGGGGGAAGCAATGCTTTTTTTTCTATTTCATGACATTTTCATCGTGGAAAAGCAGATGATTTTTTCGACAATTTTTAACGAACTATTCAGAGTAATTGTTTTCTTCACATTTGAATGGCAATACAATTTTGTTTAAACAGAGAACTTAGTCAGAATTAAATAGTATACCCCCCCCCCCCCGACCCTATCATAAAGTAAGTGGCTGTTGTTTTATAGAAATTATAAATATTTAGTCAAATTGATCATCTGATAGAGTAAAAGGTATATATACAGTAGATGTAAAAAGTTAAAAACTGACACGAATAGAGCACGAAATCGTGATACATGTACAAATAACACGAAAAACGAATATCCATAGGTCAAAGTATGATTTCCAAAACAGTATGAATTAATAAGATTTTCAAAATCATACACACGAATGTGTTAAATCTGGCTTGTTTTAAAAGCTTTATAAAAAGTTTTGCATTATTAAATTCATCTCAAATAATGTCCCTTTATTGTAGCGATAAATTAACAAAACTTCACATTATTTGTTTCAAAAATTAAAATGTGCGATTTTTTGTATTTCAGTCTAATAAACAGAGGACAGGATTGTTTTTCTGCCTTAATCAACAACACATGATAACAACGAACATACGAATTAAATGTTTAAGTAAATTATAGTTTGCATTTTAATCAAGAAAAATATTGACCTTACACAGGTCATTATTTTATGCCTTGAAACAAATTTCATTGAAACTTGGTATCGTCCGGGTTGATTCTACAAAAGAAAGACCTGTCGTTCTGAAAGAAAATAACTCCATATATGTATATAATGTAAATATAAGTTTAAAAGCTTACATTGTATGTAGAAATTCAACAGATTGTGTTGCAATTTTTTATGGCCCTTGGTGTGGTCTCTATGGGATTGGAAACCGGTATTGAACTTTACCAGACCTCATCTCACATTTTTTGTAAAACAATTGTTGAAAAACACTAATTTTGATCATTGAGAAGCCTTATTTATCTCCACTAATTGTATGTCATAAAAAATGTTCGGCTGCTTGTTAATGAGGTAACTCGCTTATGTGTTCTATCCCCCTTTAATTCGTGGATCCCTTTGTTGGCATATTAGTTAATGTTCTTGAATGTTTGGCTTCCTAGAGAAGTGAAAAAAGACTGCTGTCTGTAATCATTCAGGTAGAATTATCCAATAATTACCTGTATAGTTGACTGTGCTGAAACATTTATCAAGATGCCCACTAATTTAATGAGTAGGGGTGAAACGTACAGCAATTACAAGTCCAAAAATACATCTAAATATTATGTTAGAATATCCCCACATGGACAAATGATGTTCATTTCTAAAATTTTTGTTAGTAGTGCCAGTGACACATTTATTGTTGAAAAATGTGAATTTATGAATTACTTGTTTCCAGGAGACGAGATTACGATAGATCGTGGCTTTAAAATAGACGACTTTGTTTCCATTGCGTGGAAAGCTTAACATTCCAGCATTCACAAAAAATCAGTTAAGTTCAGAGGATGTGACAATCACGAGAAGGATTGCAAAAATACATATTCATGTGGAAAGAGTAATTCGACGACTCATTGTTAAAGTGTTGAGGAATGGAACTGATATTTGAATTATGGCTTGCATAGTATATGGGAATAGCTGGAGTCCGAATGTTTGATAATCTCTGGTAGCTTCGTCTCATAAGGGTAGAACTCCTCTTATAACATTTAATATAGAAACTATATTTGTGACTTATTATCAACACAGTAATAGTTGTCTACTATCACGGTCTTTGCGAATTTGAATTTTGCCCAAAGTGCAGAAAAGTAACGACATTTACTTCCAGCTTTCCGGTATATAGCGAAATATTGTAATATACTTTGGATATGAAGTTGATACTTGAATCATAGGGCAATTGAAAGAATGGTGTCGAATATTTTGTATGACCCCGGGTGAAATAGTCATCTCGGGGTTGAATATTGCATACATGATCGTAAAAAAAATATCTCCTACTAAAACTGATAGAAACTTGAAAGTAATTGTTAGAGTTGTCTGCACTTAAGGTTTAGGAATTTAGATATTTGTGTAGAGACCAGAATTATGGGCGAACATCTATTTAGAATTATCTAGTCAGTAACTAGTGAAATATTGTAGATCATTTGGTGTAAGAAGTTGATACTTGAATCAAAACTTAACATACAATACAGAAATGTAAATGATGGTGTTGTATGTTTCGTTTGGTCCTTGAGGCATGGTTGCTAGGGGTCAAAACCGACATTTAGATTAGCAAAGAGTTCTAAAGGGTCAAACAACACAATTTCAATATCCCAGAAGTCTATTAAAGATATGAATTTCATATTTGACATAATGTAAATACACTGTAATAGTTGGCTATGCTCAATGTTTTGAAATTTAGATTTTGCCATCAGGGCAGAAAAGGAAGAGAGTGTAATTAAGATATCTATTATATTGTGATCAACTGTAAAGTAGTTTGGATAGGAAATCGATAACTGAATCACAGTCATTATTTATATGGGAAATGAACAGATGTTGTCGAAATTTACGTATGACCTCCTGGTAAAATAGGCATCTGATGGTTCGAAAATCACAAAGATGAACTTTAAAAAATCTCACACTAATAAAGTTTGGAACATGATAAAAAGTGGTAAAGATAACACTGTAAGAATTGTCTGTGCACTAAAGAGTTATGAATTTGAGGAATGCATCCTGAAGGAATGATATCATTTTGTGGACATTATCTGTTATCATTTCAATCTTAAGAGGTAAACTTAACTAAGATAAAAACCCATCCAACGACACAAATAACCAAAAGCTATCTTAAGATCAACATACAGAATTCGTTAATAGACAGCTGTCTATACAATATGTCAAGCTCTAAATTACCCAGAGTAAAAATGTTGTGAATATTTGAACAAGAACTATCGCAGATAATCAAATTCTTCAAATAACATAAAACTTTAAATATAAGACATAAAACATTAGATATAAGACATAAGACAACCAATGACGAGGCGGTAAAAATATAATCACAAAGAACAATACACTGAAAAATATCATAGAAAAAAAAACAATTTTAGCTACAGGGTTTTGATTGAAACGGATATAACAGTCAGTGTAACTAAAACAATATAACTATATCCAAGTGTTGGTCCTCCTGATCCGACTTTTTGTGAACCCTTTTGAGATTTCAATGTTTCTGTAGTAGTTCTAGTCTTTTCTTGATTTGATAAATCCATTTTAAGAGTAGAAGAAGGTATAGACTGAGCTTTAGTACTTCTTTCAGATTCACTGATCTCACTGTCATCTTCACTTTCACTTCTTGCAGACTCACTGATCACACTGTCATCTTCACTTTCACTGCTTTCTGTGTGGTTACCAAAAGTTGTCAGAATACTCTGTACTTCTTTATCTTGATCTGGACGATCTATTTCTTTCTCGGACAGTGGTTTCATTGCCGATAAAATTTTACTGTCCTCTATATAAATGTCTTCAGTCACTTTTTCTAACGTAACAGTGGTCGTATCCATCTGCTTGGCAGGTCTTGGTTGAAAGAAACTGTCATCCCTTTTGTCGGGTGTTAATGTTTCAGGTGTTGTATGAACAATTTTCTGGAAATTTATATCATCTTCCAATTGGTTAGTGGAATTAGTAGAAAGCTCATCTTCGTCGACTTCTGGCATATCAATAATTTCGTCCGTAGAAGGATTTTCATTAACTATTTGCTTTGGAAATTTTGTCGTCCGTCCATGATCGTCAAGTCTGTGCTTAGTTATAACAAGAGGTTCGTTTACATTAATTGCATGTCTACCTGGAACGATATTAAAACGGTTTGAATTTTGATTTGGTTCAATTTCGACATCTGAATGAATAACTCTTTCTATTATTCTCATTTTAACTACGCTTTCGAAAGGAGGTCTTATTTGTTGTACATCGTTGTTTCTTGTTCCCGTAGACTTTATTTGTTTTTCATTTATTGTTGAAGTTGATAGTGTTTTACCAGAAATTGAATCCGGAGTTTGTCTAGGTACATGTTTGGATTGTAACTTGGTATTATCATTGTCCTCAGACTGAGCAGTGGCTGACACTCTTGTGTCGTGTTGTTGTAAATTATCTGGAGTTTCTGTTCTGTCGTTTCCTGATATCTTATGTGAAGTGTCTTCTGTATCTTCTTTCTCTTCCAAAGGTTTCTCAGATGTAACTTCACCCTTTTTGTATGGTTTCGGGGTTGTAACATTTTGGTATGTTCTAGCAATTTTTAGACATTTTCCACTGAGTATCTTAAAATATTTTGAAAGAAGTTTTTGTATTCCTCTTCGACAAGTTTTGAAAAAGGGTTCAAAACATCTGGAAGTTGTGACTGGAATTCTGAAATTAATGATTAGATAACAATATTGACAGGAAGCCGAAATGTGTTTTTATTTGTTTGTTTTTTTAGTGATTAAGATGATAACACAATGTTGACTGCTGTACCCCTATTCTTGACATGTTTACCTATTGTGTCTGTTTGTTTTGTTCACGCATCGTTGTCAATATAATGGAATTTGATGCAACTGTCATACAAGTGAGAGGTTTAGCTAGCTATAAAACCAGGTTCAATCCACCATTTTCTACATAAGAAAATGCCTGTACCAAGTCAGGAATATAACAGTTGATATCCATTCGTTTGATATGTTTGAGCTTTTGATTTTGCCATTTCATTAGGGACTTTCCTTTTTGAATTTTCCTCGGAGTTCAGTATTTTTGTGATTTTACTTTTTATGACTTATCAACCAATTTGATTAAATGCCGGATTTTATTTGTCATAAGAAACACCACGGTTGTTTACATTTTCAAAACAAATAAGTTGACCCCAGGTTTTTTGGTAGGATATGTGTTGCTCAATCTGTTTTGTGGACAAGTGGTTGTCTATTTGTCATTTTTTTTGTTCACGGTGTTATCTTTCTCTCATCTCTCTACCTGAGGGGAACTTTCCAAGACATCCGGGTTTAATTTGTAAATTGGATTTTTTTTACTTGATGTCAATTTACTTGTCTTTTGTTTTGTTGATTGTCCGTTGTCTATTTTTTGTATTGGTCCTATTTTCATCGACCACTTTTTGATTCCATTTTAATCTATCATACTAGGATTAAAAACACCGTCGTACTTTTATTTAGTTTGTAAGTTAATCGGTCCCAGATTACACATAAAAATCCTGCAGAAAAAAATGCGTTTAAATCTTGTCAAATCAATCTCAACCAAAACATTTTTTATTCTTTCTTTCAAATTTAACTTTCTGAAATCCCTAGATTCTATTCATGTATGTTGCGCATGTGATGGGATGTGCCTCCCTTAGCAGTAGATACTTTGCCAGTCGTAAGCGGTTGAGCCATCTTCGCTAGCTAAGGATTAAGTTCCAGTCCTCTCCTCTCCACCCTTGGCAGATCAAGCCAACATTTGTGATTATAATGATGCGCCATCTATCGGTAGACAAAAGTCACGCCCATTCCGACTACATAATTCTTGAACAATGGTAGCACTCGAACAATCTTCAGTAGGGAGGTGTAAAAACAGTGTTTACAAATTTCGTGAAGCAGGAACAGAAAATAAACATTGGCATTCCAACATTTGCGCGAGAAACATACCCATAAACTTCAATTAGTTGATTAAGAACTGCAAGATTGTCACTAAATATCGTCTTATGTTTTGGGGATAAAGACTTGTTGCACAATCTGCCAGTGCAATTATTTATTTACATTGTCTACATATTCACGTGGTCATATTAACGGCTATTTTTGATTGGATGCAGCCAGTTACAACTGCGACCAATGAAAATCATAACATCGTGGATCCGAAATTCTATCTTAATCCGCCAAGGGTGGAGAGGAGGGGACTGGATCATAACCCTTGGCTAGCGAAGATGTGGTTGAGCTAATGAAGTACTTCTTTTGCTAAGTCGGTTAGAATTTAACACAGAGGTTCCGGAGGAGAAGATGTGATTTTCTAATAAGAATCATGCTCTCTGGTTACATTAGGTACTCAACTAAAAAATCTCACGGTGGTTAGAAACTATTTGTAGCATATGTAGCCAGGTGATGTGAGAGTCATAATGGTATGACGACTCTTGAGGTTGGGAAGTTTGATGGGATTACTTCCCTTGAGTAGTAGATACTTAGCCACCCGTTATTGGTTGAGGGAGGGAAGTACTTCTTTAGCTCAGTCGGTTAGAGCTCTGACTTGTAACACAGAAGTCCATAAGAGAAGATATATGATTTTCTGGAGAATCATGGTTACCAGTGAATAAATCTCAGTGAATTGATATGCTACGAACTGTAAATGAAGGGGGATATTAACGTAAAAATTACATGCACGTATTTGTAGATATGTAAATCATATAAGAATTATTTAAGTTTGTTTAAATTGTACATATTTTGCGAACAGCTGGATAAATAGTAGGTTGATCACTGAGCTTGTACATTTCATTGAAGGCACTACATTTCTCATTTTGAAAATGTCGCCTGTTGTTAGATTAAATAGACTTGTGGGAAATAATATCAAAGCAGTAAGCCATTTAATAATAGGGGCATTACAAATATTAAATTGACTTGTAGCAAACATTTCAAATTGACAATTATGGGTCAGGGAATGAATAATTTCTGAACTTATTCATTTACATTTGAATTCAAAGTAAACCTTTTTTTACTGAACATACAAGCAAGCTCTGAGTGAATTCTCATCTCCAACATTCGATGTAGAGTTCAGTTGGAACGCCTTGTGGATGTGTGCTGCTATGGGTGACGTCAGCATGCTGACACACATTTCCGCTTGATTCATATCTGTTGTCAGACATCCCATTCTGTTTCCATATTCTGTCACAATGTATAATAAATTGAGGTTATTTTTTCCGTATATTCATCCTAACATATATCTTGTTTCATTAAAAATTAATTAACTTGTTTCGTAAATTTGCGCTTTTTCATATATCAGAAAATTCCTGAATTTGTTACACAGATTCATTCTATATAGTTCTATATACATATTTGTATTGGTATTTTTTTTTTATAAAGAATAAATAAGTTGAAGGCGTCTACTGGCTGTTTTCACAGCATTTTATTTTTCAATATTGTTTGCCGTTTACTCGTACTGAGACAACAACATGAACAATACAGCTTTTGAATGTCTAAATTTAGGATTCTCTGTGTCATCTCTTGAATTTCCCAATGGATATTCGACCTTTGGATTTGATATTGTAGAACCGTCGTTTTTAATCTCGTTCTCTAAATGTGTCGCAGTAAAGAAAATGTAGTTGTATGAAAACTTACTTTTAAGTCTAGAACAAACACCATTACTGGTTTTGTTTGCGTATTCTTGGTCATATACTAGGCTTAAGTACCAGTCGTTGGGATTGGAAGAACTAGCCGATGGTAAATACTTTGTTACGCATGGTAAAGTGGTCTGGTAGATTCTGTTATAAAATAAAAGAATATATAACTGTCTGTTCAAAGTAAGTTTGACTCCAGAATACAATAAAGGAATTAAGGGTGATTTGGGGAATAAAGTGTATTGATTGATTCTCATTAAAGTATTAGAAAAACATTATCACAATGTAAACTTCCCTAAACCTAACCTTAAAAAGATTGAATTTGTTAGTTATATCTTCAGGGTTGTTGCAATTTCTTCAGTAATAGGAAAACACACATAGCAGATATCAATTTTTTTTCGACTAACGTCTCTGCAGAGACTAATGCTTATGCATACAGTATTCAAAATGTACATCAATGCCAACAGCATCATAGCAATAAATACATACACAACAAAGGTGGATAATTGTCTCATTGTCAAATCTCCTTTTTTTTTTATATAGGCAAACAAAAAACAAAATTCATATTCTTATTTTTTTCTAGTTTTTCATCCGAATATAACCTCCGCTTGCAGTACTAATTGTATGTATAATGTTTGGAGGCTTTATGGCAGCCTTGGTTCGTCCATTGTAAATCATGAAAGAAAACAATGTAACTGAATCAAAGATATGGCACGTAAAATGTTACAATATTCTTAAGACATACAACGGAGAAAATGTCTTGCGTTGATTTTTCCATTAAATTTGGACTAAGAGTAAATGTTGATATGCACTCTAGAAACTTGCAAAGAAAAATAAACCTTCGTAACTTATTTTTCGAAATATTTCAATTTGTTTTATATTCCAATACCTTTCCGTAAAAGTTATAGAAATTTCAAATGGATAGAAATATTTTCGACCATTTTGTGCAAAATGTTCTGCCGTCATATGGCTTTACTAAGTAAATCGCAAACTGAAAATTGAATTAGATGTAATCTATCAAAAGTCATTCAATTCAATAATTGGTAATAGAATGCCGTAAACACGGTATTTCCACTAAAAGTACATGCAGTAAAAAATCTACCAATTTTGTTCTTGTAATTTTGATATAATATATCATTCTTGAAGCAATACACTAAGAAAAAATGGGGGTCCATGTGTTATAAAAATAAGAAGATGTGGTATGATTGCCAATTAGACAACTCTCCACAAGAGACCAAATGACACAGAAATTAACAACTATGTGCCACCATACGGCCTTCAACAATGAGTAAAACCCATACCGCATACTGTGGATTTATTATTATTCGTTGGATACCAATTTCCGTGAATTTCGTGGGTACAGGTGAACCACGAATTAAATGTTCAATGAATAACAAATTTCCTTTAGACTTGTATGCAGACTTCGGCAAAACCACGAAATTAAATATCCACGAACATGCAAGTTTTCCTTAATCCATGAAAATTGGTACCCACGAAAATAAATGAATTCACAGTAGTCAGCTATAAAAGGCCCCGAAATGACAAATGTAAAACTATTCAAATGAGAAAACTAACGGCCTCATTTATGTACAAAATAATGAACGAAAAACAAATACGATATACAGCAACGAACGACAACCACTGAATTACAGACTCCTGACTTGGGACAGGCACATACAGAATGAGTCGGTGTTAAACTAGTTTGTTGGCGCACCAAACCCTCCCACTAACTTAGGAAAGTGGTGTAACGGCACAACAAGAACGAACTATGCAAAACAATAAATGAAAAACAAATATGAGAAACAGCAAAAAAAGACAACCACTCAATTACAGGCTCCTGACTTGGGACAGGCACATATAGAATGTAGCGGCGTTAAACTAGTTTGAAGGCACGCCAACCCTCCCCCTAACTGGGACAGTGGTGTAACAGTACAACATAAGAACAAACTATAAAAATCAGTTGCAAAGGGCTTAACTCATCAGATCGATACAAAGCAGAAATACATCAAACAAAACACAGAGTGGACATGGCAGGTTACTTATACATCCGCACAACAAAAGACAATTAGTACAGATCTGAGAGTACTTGCAGTTACTGACAGTTAGTTCAAAGTCAATAACAACTAATAAAAAAATCATGCATCTAAGACTAAAATATCAATCAGTACACATCCAACATTCAATGGATTTAGTGTACAGACGTCATTAACAGTCAGAGAAAAACATTACCTTGTGTAATGCCAAGATACAGGTATCGACAGATTGTAGAGCCACGAATGTGCATATGTATATAAAAATAATAGTTAGTTTGATTTTAATTTACTGATAACAAATCAATATTAATATCAATAAAAACAATATTCAAAGATCTAATTATAACGTTGAATTGGTAACCTTTTAGAATAAGTTTATTTAAAGGATCGATAAGTTTACCCGGATCGTATCTAAATTTCCTGGCTCGGTAAACAACATCTCCATAAAAATAATATGTGCTATCATGTTAAAAATACGTTTTCTACAGCTACAACCAAACTTCCAAACCAAATCTTTATATCTATGGAAGAATTTAGTAAAGGTTTAAAGTAATTCGTGGTAACGAAATCCCTGACTTAATAATTTACCAGTAATACATAGATTACGCTCATTGAAATCAAAAACGTCACAACAGACACGGGCATAGTTTTTTTTATAGCTAAAAACAGAAAACCTAGTTTTATCCCATTTCCCTCTTGTTGGCGCTAAGTAATGCCGCACTAAATTCTTTATGCAACATTGCCGTGTAGCATTTCCCAGTGTTTCTCAAAGCGTTATATGAATTGTTACCATAAATTGAAATTAATTAATGATACAAAGTAAACAGTATTCAGTTGTTTCGAATTAACCGCACGATTTTTGCAATCGGTTTATTCACGATTCTCCGACATTTGAAAAATCTATGTCAAACAATAGATGGGCTTGGTTTTTATAAACAATTAAAATTTTTGTTTAATGAAGTTATATTGAGACCTGTATACGATGTATAATATAATTTTCACATAGTCTGGGCTTCCAAAATGTCGTATATGACTTTTTTTTTTGGCTAAAACTACTTTTTCACACAAACCGGCTTGGCGGGAGGAAATCTCTGATATTCCAAAAATATCATACATTTAATTAGACCAATTAAAACATTTGAAATAAGTCATGTTATAAGATTGACAATCTCAATTGTTTGTAAAGTTTGCCTCCAAACTGTTGTATGTAAACTTGTTTCACCAACATCACCATGCGATGCATATAGAGAAAGACACAGCATTACTACACTTGAAAACGCCGAAGTGATTGGCATCGACACGACATATTTCGTCGACTATGTTAACGAGTACTGGGTAGATGGAAACAACCGCCAACAATAGATCAATTCAGTAACATGGGACCACGCCTAACAATCACTTAGAGGGATGGCACAGCAAACTAAAGAAGCACGTCAACCATGCTCAAACAAACACCAACATCCTGATAGAAAAAGCAAATCATATAAAAGGAGTAGCTGGTGGAACTCAACGACCCACATCCAAGAAGTACAGAAACGTAAACAACAGATTGTCATCACTGAAAGAACGCATTTTCGGGTCGAACTTACCGTCCAGGACTACGCCGACCAAGCCACCTTCACCCTCCACATGGAAATTCGACTGTAGTGTGTAGTGTATTTTATTGACAATTTGCTAAGAGACTCAATATATCTGTTCAGTACAAAATATTAATTCATTTTGTACATTACTTGTTATTTTCTATGAATTATTCATTGTGATTAATTTCAAGAGTTTGTAGTGCAGAATTTGTTGTGTAATACTATTAAATTTTACCCATGTTTATGCATTTTTCTGTGCAAATTTATGTATTCATAATATAACTTGTCGTTTTATTAATTATACTTGTGCTTAATTTAAAGTTTATAGTGTAGAATTTTATGTAAAATACTATTAATGTTCCCGCAAGTTGACGCATTTTTCTGTTCATAATTTCAGGATCTTGTAGTGTTTTTGTCCATTATTTCTTATATTGTTTATCATTTTATACGGTTGTATATTTTTTTACTTTGTGAATAACTGTTGTTTGTATATGGGTCATTCTCAAAAAAAGTCGAATTTTGAAATTGCAATTTGAATTAAAGTTCCTAATTAAAACAACCCTCTTCATAGGCAAATCATAACAAACAGTACGAATGGAACACAATATAAAAAGATGCAATCTTGTTAATGGCATACAAAAATATATTGAAACATTTTTTGATAGGTGGTGCAATATTTTGTCTCTCCTGTTACCATGTTCAAAAGATATCTCGGGTTATTTAGAAAAGGTTTCGATAAAATTTTAAGCTTGTTTTTCATAGTCAATAAGATTGTTTTCAAGAGTAAAAACTTTTATATATTTTCATTATGTGTACTGAAAAATACTTCTAAAAATTGTTTTTTAAAGGTTATGTAACCATCAGCCACGCAAGTCTAAGATAGCAATTCATAATGTTCAGCATTTTCTTTCTTTCTAATAAACCCAACATCAAGTAATTCCCTTGCATGTTGGTTTTCTTTTGTCGTTTTGTTTTTGGTAACAGGAACGTACATTAACGATATATCACCATATTAAGTTCTATCCTGTTACCCGTTTTGTCTATCCTGTAACCGATAGAAGTATTGCATTTGTATACATTAAGACGCTGTAACCTTTAAACGAGTTCAAATAACACATGAATAACTAATCATCCAATATGTGTTAAACTATATGTAATTATATACTTGTTTATGACGTTTCTGTCAAATATTGTCTATCCTGTTACTGTAATTACAGTAACCATAGTAACAGGATAGACATAACAGGACAGATAAATTTCTTCATTTATGAATGCTGTTGTGAAATAACTACACCCTTTAATGTATTTCTGCTGTGTTTTTGGTTTCAAACACGTAATTGCACTTTTTATAAGTTTAATATTGGTGTAATTGATAAATATGTTGGTAACAGCATAGACATGATAAAACGGTACCAACTAATTTTTTTCACTAAATGTCTTGATTTTTCCTTTCTCTAACACTGTTATGCAAGACACGTGCTGTGCTAAATTTTTAGGGTGCTTTGTGCTTTTGAAATCATCACTGACTAGAACTTCCATATTCATAGGGAGAAACAATTTAACGATTGGTTAAGTAGCTGTAACAGGATATACATGCATTTCATGTACGCCGATTGAATTTAGTTTGTAGAAAAAAATGTTACATAGAATAATAAAGAATCTGTGATTTTTCGTTAGAGCTATTATAAACATTGTAAAATAGTTATTTTTGCAGATATCAAGGCAATCAGAAAATATGAAAACAAATAATTTGAAATGTATTACCCTGACACTGTACGCACATAAATTACTCAAAAATCTGATTTAAATATATTTTAATCTTATCAAAATAGATCTAAATCGTGTTTATTATTGATGGTCCGACTCATGAATCCTACAAACTTTCATTTAAACACTTACAACTGCATTTTCCTTTAAAAATATTTTTTTTAGCATAGGTGTACTGAAAGTTCGACATAGAAAATGACCCATTAATGAGGTTTTTGGTGAAATAATTATATTTTTGTCTAATTTTACTTTAAATTTTCTCAACTACCAATCAGTTAGATCATTCAAATTTTAGTTTGATCTGGATTCACTGTAACTCCAATTACGGATAAATTTCAATTATTCATGTTGCCAAAAAAAAAAAAAAAAAAAACACGTTTCTCCAACAAGAAATGATTTACCTTTTATACAAAAATATCAAATGTTGAAGAAACGTGAACACAACCCCTCGTTGGCAGTAGATTTCGTGCTCTTTAATTTATAGAATGTTCGTTTTCCATAGAATGCTTATTAAGAACTTATTACATTTTTGGAATTAATTTTTTAATTGTGATGCATTATTCATTTGATATTTTGTTGTCTTGCATTTATATGAATTTTATATAATATAATTATATTTGTGCAGCTAGATACTCACTGACACCACTGATTTATAGAGTTAGCTGGTTGATTGTTGTATGCTGGTTCACTGTTAACAACTGGTCCCGTTCTAGTCATACATGCCTGTAACATTCGGTTTGGTTTTGATGGTGACAGGCCGGGTATAACTTGACACAAGGCAACATTTGTGCAGATAACCAGATAAATTCCAGCTAGTATTATACCTGAAAATTATATTGTAAATATTTGTAATTTTTAATATGCTTATTTATTTCGACTTATTTCGTTTTCACTATGAGTTTAACGGTCTGAATTTTAGTATGTTAATTTTAAATAGTTTCTTTATAAAGAATATCCCTAGCTTCGTTCCAAAACGGTTATCTTTCTCCAGTACAAGGTGTTCTTAGAAAATTTGGGTTTTCAAGTGTCGGACCATTTTTGGTTTTTGTTACTTAGTAAATTTTACTTTCGTGGAGTCCTTGCTGTCAATGTTTCATTTTGTTTCTACACGTTTTTAAGGCAAAGCGAGGTTTATTCAAGAAAGAGTGGCATAATGCATTACAATTCTCTTGTCCAACGGAGACTTCCCAAAAACGTGGGAAATGGTTGCATAATGCGTTTGGAGTTCTCTGGTCCAACGGAGACATCCGTTCAAAAACCGTGATCGAGTTTGATATAATTCCCAGTTTTTTGGTAAGACTGTATTGCCTAAAGCTTTATTATTAAGCGTTCTCTATTGATATACAACATTCCTTGTTCCTAAAAATGTTCTCTCATGCAAACTAAAGTGTCAATTAGTACACATCCAACGGATTTAGTGTAAAGTCATCATAAACAGTCCGGGAAAAGAAATGTTGCAATCCCAAATTATAAATAGTATCGACAGGATGTAGGACAAAACAAATCATAATTTAATAGCATATTTAGTTATTTTAATCTATCCCAAACAAAGTCAATATTAGTACCGGTAAAACAATATTAAGAGATCTTACTATAGTACTAAATGTATCTTTCTTGCGTTTGATTCGCCGCATTTGTTTATTGTTTTCTGGTTCCGATTTCTGATTTGACTTTATTGTCTTACAGTTAGTTTTGTATCATCTAATTATTATTATTCCTAGCTGTGTATCACAATAACAAAGGCTCGAAGATAATTAATTAGGGAGAATACCTAGTAGAGGTTAGACATTAGTCTTTTTTTGTAGTTTTAAGTGTTAGGGACTAGTACAGCCACTTAATTCTAAATGTATCGTCTTTATCCACAATGCACCATGTTTCCGTATTTATCATGTCTAATATAATGTCGATGCTTCCCTGTTATTGGACTGTTATTCAGTCTCACATGGGGACAAAGGCTGTCATCTGTTACATTCATGTTATCTTCGATTGATAAGTTTTGTGGTTTTTATAATATAATTACACCTTATGTAAGAATCCTGGGTTTTGATTGGTTGATAGCCAGTGTATTTTTCACCAATTTACTGTTATCAAATGAATATCGTTCATTTTTTAACGCCGCCGGGGTATATGCAAAAAGGATATGCCTTTTTTACCCTCTCTGCCGTGGATATTTGCCAAAAAATACTCTATCCGACTGGACGCTTGTAACGTCACGATCATCAATGCGTTTTTGAACGTTAACATTCGGTGTAATTAAACAGATATAGCATGTTCTTGAGGGGTATTTGCGAAAAATACCAGTCTTGAGAATGAATTTCCCTCGACTTACGGCTCGCGAAATTTAACATTCTCTCGACTGGTATTTTTCGCAAATACCCCTCCTTAACATGATATATCTGTTCATGATACCGACTCTCCAGGACAGTTGACTATTGACGTGTTCGGCTATTACGTTATGTCCCTCCTTCATAATAAAGTTCCTCGTATAAGTTGTGCGTTGCGCTGACCGTTCCTGATTATGGCTATGTTTAAAAGGTAATAAATGATCATAAATGAGACATATAAAAATAAAAAGATGTGGTATGATTGCCAATCAGACAACTCTCCACAAGAGACCAACTGACACAGAAATTAACAACTATAGGTCACCGTACGGCGTTCAACGATGAGTAAAACCCATACCGCTTAGTCAGCTATGAAAGGCCCCGAAATGACAAATGTTAAACAATTCCAACAAGAAAACTAACGGCTTAATTTATGTATGCCCTACCCAACTTACTACCATTAGGTCGATAGCACTATACTGTCCTCGTAGGCATCCGTGTTATGGCAATCATGGGCAATCATGGGAATTGACGTCTTTTGTTACAAACATGATGATAAATTTTAATTGAAGTATATGAAAAACTAAGATTGCATCTATTACAACCAAAGACCTTGGCGAATGCATTTTAGTAGTAATATACTTTTCCGTTGTTATCTATTTTTTTCTGTGAACACGAACTTTCATACTGTGTAATAGACAGAGGTATTTTTTATAAGCATTGGGAACAGCACAGAAAACAATGGGTGACCTTCTCAGTCTAGACTCGGGGAGATTTAGAGCTTGAAAGACCGTATGTTTACCTCCCTCTAGATGTATTTTCTTTTTTCCTGTGTCGGTGTGTTGCCGTCTCATGGAGGGTTAATATCAAACATCTCCTATTATGCATGTATACATGTATGTACTGAGTAAATTAGGTAACACGTAGAATCCTTTATATTGCATTCTTTCTTATATTAAAAGAGAGGCGAAAGATACATGTACCAAAGGGACATTCAAACTCAGATGTCGAAGATAAAATGACAACGCCATGGTTAAGAAAGAAAAATACCAACAGACAAACAGCAGTACACAAAACACAACATAGAAAAATAAAGACTGAGCAACACGAAGCCCACCAAAAACTGGGGGTGATCTCAGGTGCTCCGGAAAGGTTGACCAGATCCTGCTCTACATGTGACACCCGTCGTATTGCTCATTTTAGTACAAACCCGGTGATAAGTCTAATTCGGTAGGTCACATTCGGGGAAAAGGGGACGGGGTTGTAATTAAGACAATTAGAAAATATCCGTCGTCATCTGTGAAACGGATATTCGATAACGGTCAACCAACACGTGATGGCGTCCGTAAAATTTACGAAGGGGTGATTTCAACTTCACCAATTGGAACTCTTGGTCTAATAGCTTTCTTGTAAGCAGCAACCTTCTATCAAGAAAATCATGGTAGGAAATACATGCCCTGGAATATCGTATCAACTGGGAGATATATATACTCCATATGCAGGCGCTGCTGGAATGTTGCTACATAGAAATGGAAAGTTCACAATTGGGAAGCTGAAATCATCTCCTTTGTCGTAAAGTTTTGTTTTCAACCGACCCTCATTGTCAATTTCTAGACGTAAGTCGAGATATGAGGCAGACTTAACTGTATCTGTTGTATCCTTTATCTCAAGTTCGGTAGGATAGATGCGTTCAACATAAGTCACCAAATTTTGAATTATTTAGTGAGAGAACATCATCTATATAGCGGAAAGTGAATTGTTACGACTTTGTTGTGATTATCTTAGTTTACATATTAGTTAACTGAGTCAGAGTCAATCAAATACTGCGATAAATTGACATTATCCACTAAATAAATAATAATGTTACACCATCAATAAGTGACAATTGTAGTTTTTTTCACAATTGACGAAATTAACTGAACACTTGGATAACCCATCTTTTATCTCAGAGGAAATGCGTTTTTGGATTTTTTTTTGTCTCGGTTAGCATTTGCAGTTTACGTCATTTTCAATTGTCATTTTTATGTTATCTTATAGGTGTAATTTGTGCTTAGTAGAGAAATAATTATTGACTACTACCAATGCTATTCAATTGATTAACCAGCGAGAAAGTAATTACGAATGTGATCTTACTCATATTATTTGAAGATAATGATATCAAATTATTGTTTCTTACCTTTCATAATGATATAATCATAATTTCTCGTTAATTAATTTAGTAAATCGTGTCTGTTTCATACATTGTTGTCCGCACACATGTGTTCTGAATATTAAGTATAACCTTTGTTTAGTAAGGAACATGAATCAACGTCAAAACGTTGTTTGCATCTATTTATTTCTTTAAATTGTTTAATTACGTGTATGTGATTATTTTTCTATAAGAAATTTTGGTGTATAATTGATGTCCAGGTGAAAACAGGGGTGTCGAATAATTGTTATGTACATTTTTTATACATTATTTTAAATTAATTGATTTATTGTCATACTAAATAATTTTGACATTTGTAATGATTTATAACTTGTTATAATTGTTTAATGTTCAACAATTACATACTGTGTAATTCATGGTAGTTTTTATAGTCAAAAATTAAGTATGAAAGGACTTATTTACTGTATCCCAAGTCGTTTTAAAAGATGTTTCAAACATTAATGCTTCGCCTATGAAGGCGAGACATAGGGATTGTTCTCCTCACTATAAAGTTACTTTAAATATAAATAAGAAGATGTGGTATGAGTGCCAATGAGACAACTATCCATCCAAGTCACAATGTGTAAAAAGTAAACAAGTATAGGTCAAAGTACGGCCTTCAACACGGAGCCTTGGCTCACACCGAACAGCAAGCTAAAAAGGGCCCCAAAAAGACTAGTGTTCAACAATTCAAACAGGAGAACCAACGGTCTAATTTATATAAAAACGAGAAACGAGAAACACTTATGAACCACACCAACAAACGAAAACCACTGACCTTGGACAGGTGCATAAAAATGCAGTGGGTTTAAACGTTTTAACAGGCGTCCACCTTCACTCTAACCTGAAACAGTGGTATAACATTACAAAATAAAAAGACACACAATAAAATATCAATTGAAATGGCTTAACTCGATCAAGAAGACAATACACAAAAACAAGTAAATATACAATGAACGAATAAGTTTGATCTATGACACAATATAAATAAAAAGATGTTAAAGATATAAAGTTTTATATGTCATAGAATAAATAGACACTCAGTATCATGTTAACAGATTTGTTATAGTTTTAAACTTTCCATTTAACTCAATTCCAGTATAAACTATTCGATATATTGATTGATTGATTAATTTCAAACACTTTCAACATATAAATCTATTCAGTCAACATGGTCAAGATGGCTGAATATAAAAATAAGAAGATGTGGTATGATTGCCAATGAGACAACTCTCCACAAGAGACAAAATGACAAAATGACCATTTTTGGTTTTTAAGAGACCAAAATGACACAGGAATTAACAACTACAAGTCACCGTACGGCCTTCAACAATGAGTAAAACCTATACCGCATAGTCAGCTATAAAAGGCCCCGAAATGACAGATGTAAAACAATTCAAACGAGAAAACTAACGGACTGTTTTAAGAACAAAATAATGAACGAAAAACAAATATGATGTACAGCAACAGACGACAACCACTGAATTAGAGGCTCCTGACTTGGGACAGACACCAACAGAATGTGGCGGAGTTAAACTAGTTTGAAGGCACCAACCCTCTCCTAACCTGGGACAGTGGTGTAACAGTACAACGTAAGAACAAACTGTAAAATTCAGTAAAATAAAAACTGCACATATATATGTATATCACCGTGCATACTTGTTCAGGACTTAAATGTGTCTCATTGACACTCATACCACATCTTCTTATATCTAAGTATAAATATGTTGATCATTAATGAATGTACAATCCTGGTTGTCCCCTACTTTAACAGTGTCTCCCTTGCATAACATTATATATCTACTACGTAACACAGCAAATTTGTTTTTAATTTTCACTGTGGTTAATTAATTTTACATATAGATCATTTTTCGCACAAGTAGCTTAAATACAAGTAAAGCTATAAAACGAAATAGCTCATATATTAACATTCAAAAGTTAATATAAGAAATGATACATATACAAAATACTTCAATTACTTAAAACTACAGGATGTGGATTTTTTTGGATTCGAAATAAAAAGATGCATCATGTAACTAAAATGGTACTCGATAACAAATGCAAAATGTTTCTCTTATCTGTGTGATAAAATGACATGATAACAAAATCGCTTCATATTTTTGTTTTCAAAGGGTCATTTCTATCCTAGATAATGCCCTTTTTTATCTAACACTTACATTACGGTCACAAGAGTTGCCAAGTTGAAAAAAAATGTATTCTAATCCATTTTGTATTTTTTAATAGCAACTGATTCAATATATGCATTGCTTTTGAATTACTATTATCTATACCTTCGGCAAAGTGAAAATTTGAAAAAAATATAGTCCATTGACACACAATACAAGTCACCGCTAATGGACTGTAGTCCCGATGATATCATGTTCAATTGTAACTTTATGATAGCTATTTCAATATTGTAATATCTGCATAAAAAAATGGAACCGTAACTATCAGGCCAAGTTGATTATAGTATGAAGTATTCTAGTTGGTTTTAGGTATTCCTTTCAAACCTTTGTTTTAATAATATATAGATCAGCATGTTAAATATCTTTGTACTCTGTAGGTATAATAAATAGGGGAGAAGTACCGAATTGATATGCACGATGCAAATTGCTGAAGTATATCAATTCGGTAATTTCCCCTATTTATTAGACCTATACAGAGTAAATCAAGAATTTGGAACACTGGAATTAACATTTGAACATAAATGTATACTATTAATTATCTTGGTGTAATCAGGGGTGTACAGAATCTTACACCGTTGTTGAAAATTCATACACCCTGTGGCGCAGCCGAATGGGTGTATGAATTTTCAACAACGGTGTAAAATTCCGTACACCCCTGAATACACCAAGATAAAGAATTTATTTTTTTCGAAAATTCCTTTCCTTATTTTTATACTAGGTTGTAAAATTCTGATGAAGTTTTAAGACAACAAAAGCAAAGTGTGTCTCGCAACATTTTTGGTTATAGACGACGAAAGCAAAGTGTGCAGCTAAGCCCATTTTAGGTTATAGACAATGAAAGCAAAGTGTGCTGACAAGACCATTTAAGGTTATAAATAGACGACGAAAGCAAAGTCATAGTGTGCACCCAAAACCATTTTAGGTTACAGATGACGAAAGCAAAGTGTGTGACCAAGATTATTTTAGGTTATAAACGACGAAAGCAGTGTGTGGCCAAGGCCATTTTAGGTTACAGACGACGAATGTAAAGTGTGCAGTCAAGACCATTTAAGGTTACAGACGACGAAAGCAAAGTGTGAGGCCAAGACCTTTTAGGTGAGGGACGACGAATGTAAAGTGTGCGGCTAAGGCAATTTTAGGCTACAAACGACAAATGTAAAGTGTGCAGTCAAGACCATTTTAGGTTACAGACGACGGATGTAAAGTGTGCAGTCAAGACGATTTTAGGTTACAGACGACGAATGTAAAGTGTGCAGTCAAGACCATTTTAGGTTACAGACGACGAATGTAAAGTGTGCAGTCAAGACCACTTTAGGCTACAGACGACGAATGCAAAGTGTGCAGTCAAGACCATTTTAGGTTACAGACGAAAAATGCAAAGTGTGCAGCCAAGACCATCTGAGATAGGTGTGCATCCGGTGTGCATCCAACACTGTTTTTGAATAAAGATACATGTTGAAACTTAACAATTTAATTTTTATTTTAACTTTACAATTAACATGATAAAAAGATACATGTAACAAGTTGAAAGGCTCAGAATTTGTCATTAAACACGTGATGACGTTGTGTTTTATTGCTTGAAAACTATTTCCACTTTTTCGATATTACAGTTACTGAGTATTGGCCCCAATGTCTTGTTAGAAGTTTTAGTAATTGTTAAATTTTGACTGGCAATACACTCAACTTGGCGATCTCCCATTTCTGTAGTAAAACATTCATTCGAAAACAGCTGATCAATGTCAAACTCATTTAAATTTTTAATTACATCCAAATTAGAGGCTGGTACTAATTCATTTGAAACGGTAGGAAGTGTTAACATTGCGCGTGCTTTTGGAGCAGGTAACTGCAGTTGAGGTGTAGTTGAAGGTTGAATTAAATTCTGAATGGCTTGGTCCATTTCTTCCTTTTCTTGGTCAGACACACGATGGTAAACAGCCAAAGAGTTAACAGATTTGTGTCCCGTCACGTACAGCCATAATTTTTGAATCGGCAAATTTGTTCTTAAATAAAGCTGTTGTACCGGTGGCCCGAATTGAGTGATTTGTGTAGATCTTCGATAAACAGCAGGCTTTACTCAGTTTTGTCATAAACGAACTTATAGAGTCTTTACCGAGCCCCTGTTTAGTATACCACACACTGTCATTGTAACAAAACGTATCTCTGGGACGCTGCCAAAGACGATTATTTTCAGGGTGCAGTTTGGATAGAAGCTTTTCATACTATTTCACAGGACACGGGGCGAGTCCTTGTTTTCCGTCATAAAACCACCAAAATTCCCCTTTTCATTGGATCTTCTATTTTTAACTAATTCATCCCTTGATTTTGTAACGAACTTTACTCCATTATTTGGATTTACATCAACAATAAATGTGTCCTATGTCATTTCTGGTATGTTTTCAAGCCCTCTTCGGCAAAATACAGACGAATGCCCATTTTTACCTTGTTCAGCAACCCACATGGTGTGTCAGTTGACATATGAATACTTGAGTAAAGTTTGTGGATATCACACTCCTCAATTGCCGGGTAGTGCTGTACATCTCCCTTGTCAAGTGTTTTGAGCTCAGACATTGCAGTCGTGAAGATTTCATTTGACGACAAAAAATCTGAGTCCTTTATAATATCAAATATTTTTAAGTGAAGCGGAGCCTTTATGTGTCTGTTTAAGCCATATCTAAAGTTCTCAAGTGAAGAGCTTTTGTACATTTGTCCATCCGACGTGAGAGTGTCCCGATAAAAACAACCCAAAACAGTATTCAGTTGACTCGGTGTGTAGTTTTCGAAGTCTGGTTCTTCTTCTTTTTCTGACAGGTACGCCCTAAGCATAATTTGCACTCTTTTTGTTTGATTTTGGTAGTGTTTTTTGGCACAACATTTGCCCTTTTTACCAAAATTTCCGCTTCAGTATGA